ACTAACACTGTCAGCAATGTTGAACTAACAATGTTAAACAAACGTCGATATTAAAATAAATATATAATAACTAATTCGTTACAGTGATACTATTCCAGTCTCGTTCTCAGAGTTGCTGATCTTGGTAGCCGTGTCAAATTAAAGATGAAAAATATGTTCAAAATACATGAATTAAGCGAGACCTCGTGGTCTTTGGTTGCAAAGTTTTCCAAAGTTCATTGCTTGTTGAAAAAAAAAGTGACATGAACGTTCAAAACGTATAAAAACTAACACTGTCAGCAATGTTGAACTAACAATGTTAAACAAACGTCGATATTAAAATAAATATATAATAACTAATTCGTTACAATGTAAAAGGGTGGATATTTATTGCTCAGAAAAAATGATTTTAGTTCGGAGCTTGTATTGTTTTGTCACTACAGTTGTGACTGTTTAATTCTCCAGTAATTGAACCTTTCTTGGAAGCTTTGTGATGATGGGAGTTGAAATTAAGGAAGAGATGTTTTCTTATTGGTTTGTGAAACAAGGTAGATTGTCGATCCTTAAGGTAACGTCAAGAACATCTATGTTCCTCTTGTCATTCGAATGATTCAGGGTGAATTGGATGTTGGGGTCTATGGAATTTAGAAAGTCTAAAAATTAGATTAACGAAGGAAGACCGTGGTTCCATAATCCAAACACGTCATCGATGTATCTAAGCCAGAGATCAGGGCCGGTGTTGGTATCTTGACACCACTTGTCAAGTGCCGTAGTTTCAAAAACGTGTATAAATATTACAGCATAAATAACAGCGACTCTATTACCCACTGAGACACCACTGAGCTGGAGATATAGTTTGTTCTCGAAACGAAAATACCCATTGTGAATGATGAAATGCAAGATTTATCTGACAGTGTCTATTGTCAGTCCGTACATTTCCAAATTGTTTATGATTCGACATGAATTCACACACTGCATTGACGGTATCCTCTGTTTGTATAGATGGGTGGAGAGCTACAACGTCCAATGTAAAGAGCATTTGTTGTATTGGTCACTAAGCTAGGTACATTCTTGATTCGCGATAGACAAGTTTTTGTTGGTTACTATTGCAAATGAACATAGTTTTCTTCGGTGTTCTTACAGTTTAAACAAATCTGATCAAAAACACCTTAGGTGTGAAAAAAAAGGAGGGGGCCAAAAAAAAAAAAAAAGGAACTGAATGTGCAACTTCAAGGAATGAGATCAAAATTGGCGGCCAAACTGGTAGCTGCACGTATAGCACTGATAACAATTTTACAGCAAATATTCGTTCATTAGTTAGCCAGGTCGCGCTTTTTGTTCAACATGGATTGATCAAATATCATGACATTTTGTCAATACACACCAACAAACCACAGCAAGTAAGAAAGTGACACTCGACAGTTACCCACATTAGCGTTAGGATCGTAACCCCATTATTTGGAACAGGCCTATACTTTACTGAACCAACCAGATTCTTTAAAATATACGGTGGTAGTTTTCCTCTCTAATACATTGTTAATAACTTCCTTTATTATAGGCCAGGTGGTTAGGGTGCTCGACTCGCAATCTGAGGGTCGCGGGTTCGAATCCCCTTCCCACCAAACATGCTCATCCTTTCAGCCGTGGGGGCGTTATAATGTGACGGTCAATCCCACTATTCGTTGGTAAAAGAGTAGCCCAGGAGTTGGCGATGGGTGGTGATGACTAGCTGCCTTCCTCTAGTCTTAAACTGCTAAATTAGGGACGGCTAGCGCAAACAGCCCTCGAGTAGCTTTGCGCGAAATTCAAAACAAACAAACTTCCTTTATAGTAACATCATGGAATCTTGATTCACAGCTTCTTGTCACCAGCTGTATGCACTCAGTGTAACCGTAGCAACCATCATTATTTACCCATATTGCTTAAGCTAATATCACGTGACGCTAAACGCTCTTTAATTGGGATAATTTTTAAAAAATAACAAATTTATGCTTAAAAGTTGACAATGAATAATAACCGTCCACCCGTATGATTATTTTGAAAACTTGAGCTAGAAACAGCTAATTTAGTTTGCTTCGCCTTACCAATACTTATAGTTCACCTTATAGTTTTGCTGCTCTAAATCAGCCGTCTTTAATCTGAATGACAAAAACTAAAAACGGTTCGCTTTCATTCCTAGGTGAAGCTGTAGTAAGCTTTTCAGACCGATAACTCACGTGACTTTTTTCATAGGCGTGCACAGAAAAATATTTTGGTCAAATATTAGTGGTTTTTGTTCATTAAACTTTGCACATGTGGCTTATATTTAGACAAAATGAGACTGCTAATTGAAAGTTGTAAAGTCTATCAGTGTAACAAATTTGAAAAAAAAAAATCCATGAAAGTTAAGTATGTTTTTCAATCAAATAAAGTTTTCGTATTTTCGGTGCGAAAAAAATAAAAGGAAGAAATTCAAGCAAAATTGGAGATTTTATCGTTCGTGTATTTCTTGCCTAGAAATTTTGTATGTGAAGTAAGGGTACAGTAGAGCATATCCACTGAAAATATTTGATAGTTTGGATTACCACAGTCTGAGCAACAGAAAGTGAAAAATTGCTAAACTGTCACTCCTGTTAATTACACAGGTTGTTTTGGCCGCACAACACACTACCGTGTGTTTTGACACACAGTGTGTCCTGCAGGTAGTTTCGGCCGCACCATGCGTCTTGATCTTTATTGTGACAATTGAAACATACTTTTATTATTGCCATTGAAATAGATCTTTCTTGTTATTTCCACGAATGAAGCAAGTGTTACTCATAGAATAAAAATGTATTTGAGGATTAGAATGAAAAATTCTGAAATATGAAGATACGTATTTCATAAGATTGTTTATTTAGGCTAAACATTTAATTTTAGATATCAGTATAATTATACGGAATAAATGATATTAGTGTGGCAGATTTCTTTAGAAAACCCTTGTTTGTGAAAATATATGTATGTGTGTATATATTTCACGCACACGTAAAGAAGTACTCTACGTTGTTTGTTTAATTATTGATAATGTTTCATTTCTTCAGGCGCTCGGAAACTTTAAAGCAGTGACTATGTATGTGTGTGTGTGTGATAAGAGAGAGTTGCATGTACACACATGAAGCTGTGTGTTTGTTGGTTTATACATCGCACGTGTTTGAATGACGGGTCTTTACTGACCTACAGGTACTACGAGTAAGGTTTAGTAGTGGTAGAAAACCCAGGCAAACGCGTGTACGCTTACATTTGTACGCATACAACCACCTGATAAGCCCAGAAAAACGGGCCTTTCAAGGTCGCTGTCGACCAAACGTTGCCGCCATCCTTCTTCGGTGAAAATCTACTAAAAATCATTGTAGCGTAGTTAGTGAAGAGACAGGTTCGAAGCGCTCTCTGCATTCAGATGATGCAATAAAACTGTAATGATAATTTAAACAATATATATATATATATAGAAAATTGTTATCATGGCTGACAATTCATTTCTCTCCTGCTCTATTGGCTCGCAACTTCCCACAAATCTACTGGTTCTTAAACCGACTATAGTAAGAAGAAGACTTCTCAAGGTAAGTACTAGCTTTTATCTAATTATCTAACAAGTCGTCATGTAATTAACTTTTGTAGATTTAGTTTTATTATCAAGAAGAGGATATTAATAATTGATGGTATAAAAACCTCTCGCTGTACATTCACCCTGGTTATAGTATTTACAGTAGTAACAACAATAATAGTACAAGAATTATTTAATTGTTGTTACTACTGTAAATACTACAACCAGGGTGAATGAAAAGTGAATAATTCTTGTACTGTTATTGTTGTTACTACTGTAAATACTACAACCAGAGTGAATGAAAAGCGAATAATTCTTGTACTATTATTGTTGTTACTACTGTAAATACTACAACCAGGGTGAATGAAAAGACTGTTATTGTTGTTACTACTGTAAATACTACAATCAGGGTGAATGAAAAGTGAATAATTCTTGTACTGTTATTGTTGCTACTACTGTAAATACTACAACCAGGGTGAATGAAAAGCGAATAATTCTTGTACTATTATTGTTGTTGCTACTGTAAATACTACAACCAGAGTGAATGAAAAGCGAATAATTCTTGTACTTTTACAAGAATTATTCACTTTTTCATTCTTATTGGTTGTGTATTTACACTAGTAAAGCAAAATTTCCCGAGTATTGAGGGGGCTATATATATTTTCAGTCGCGTTTTTTGTCTTTACATAAATAATGTACTGAAGATTATGTCATAAGTATACATCTTCATGTTGTTGTTTATCTTAGTTGAAACATTCAATCGTTGTTTATCAGTTGAGTAACATCTACATTATGATAACAACGGTTCTATATATATACTTTATTTCTCAACAATCTTGTCATGCTGACCGTATATATGTGTGTGTGTGTGTTAAACCCGTATCCTACCAGTATTTATATCTTAATACAAGTGTAAATTTTTAAACGTGACCATAGTCATTTGAGGTAAAATGTACGTGGTTATAGTGGAAACGTAAGTCCCTATAACGACAGCGTTCTGATTAACGATACTCTATGACAATAACTATAACATTATTAAGCTTTGAAATTATCTGCAACAATACATCGTTCATAGTAGTGACTCACACAGTACGTTGTTCCATTCTTAGACAACAGTTAAGTTATTAAGGGGGGTTTTGTTTGAAGGTAACATGCCCTTTTGAAACATCTTAAGTCCTGGGTAAACACTTGTATTATTAATCCTTTGAGTTATTCTTGACTTCCATCAGAGGGAGTTAATGTTTACACGCTGTTTGATCTGATAATTTCATAATTCTTGGATGTTGCTTTTTGTTATTGATCTGAGACTTTAACTGATTCAAGTTCCATTGCCAACTGGACAGCTTCCTGTAAACATTTAAATCTACTTTGCTTTAGTGTAATTCACACATCTTCAGCACCATTTCATCTATGAATTAATCACGTATCAACGAATCCATCAGTTCACATGGAGCATCTGAGTCAGATAATTAGGAAAGTTTTACCACCTCTTTAACTTCACATAGTGTTTCGTCCTTTCTTATTAATCTGCTCCTAAACTTTGTTTTAGAAACTTCGTTTTGATCTGACACTCCAAATCTATCTGATAAGGCAGCCATTAATGCGTGATAGTTGTAACGGTTCTGTCGAAAGGTTGCTCAATGTCGTCAAAGATGGTTATTCCAAATGTGTAACAAAACGAACATCTTTCTGTTCACTACTTCACCCATTAACCTTAGAACTTATTTCAAACAGCGCCTGATATGGCTCTTATGGTATCATTTCATCATAATCTGTTGGTTTCTTGACTGGGCAACGTTTCTGAACTGGCCTGCTATAATTTGTTACTTGATGAGATAGTGGAGTAGTTGGATAATTAAGAATGTTTTATAGTCATTGGTCGCACAGCATTATTGATAATAGGTTATACGAGATGTGAGCTTCCCTAGTGCTTGAAGTTGGAATTCTCAGCTGCAATTGATTTGATCCTTGCATTTTCCAGATTTCTTCTTTTTATCCTAGCATTGATGTTATTTTGTATTCAGTTATTATTCTTATAATCCTTATTTACTTTATTATATTTGTTGTTATAATCCATCCGTACATCTCCTACGGCTTTTTCAACTTCAGTATGTACATTTACAATCTATCTGAATTCCTATAAATATTTTGTCTCATTCATAGAATTTCTCTCTTAAGTTCCTATATTTTCCTTTAATTTTCTGTTTCTTTCTTCTGGATCTTCTCTTAGTTTTCTACACCTTTCCACCTGATCTTCATATATTTTTTTCCCTTCTAATTTGTGTTTCTTTCTTCTTGTTCTTTCTATTTGTTTCGCCATTTAAAGCAAATTTTCGATCTCACTTCGAGTACGTTATTCCTTTTTATGTTCAATCTGGATTAGCTCCCCTCTCGCCCAGTAAGTCACTGGTAAGTCTGAGGTCTTAAATCGCTAAAAATCGGGTTTTGAGACCCGAGGTGAGAAGAGAACAAATAGCCCATTGTGTAGTTTTGCGCGTAACAACAAAAAATATACTTATAGGAAAAAAAAACCAAGCCGTTTGGATTATATTTTATTTTCACGAAAATAGCCCCCTCTTCTGATACCCGTGTTCTGACGGTTTCTATTGTTGGGCAAGCTCTTTTTGGATTCTTCGATAAGGAGACGAATGCAAAGTCCAGTCCTTTTACTGATATCAAAACATTATATTTTTCAACCACAAGTTTTGTAAGTACAACTTCTCCTAACTAATTATAGGCCTAACTTGACAAACAAATAACTCGAAATAATTTCCACTTACTAATTCTTCGTTGAAAACAAACTCAAAATTTACAGCATTGACCTAACAAGTTGACTTAATAATTAACCAACATCCGCAAAAGACTTGCTAATCGACCAGAAATCTCTTTTAGTCTCACATAACTCTCTTCAGTTCTAGTTCAATCAGTTTTCTAAACTTTGAAAAAATTATAGTCACAAAGCTACGCGCTTAACACATAGCGTTAAAACTCCATCTAGTCAAAGAAAACAAAGGTCTAAATTTTTTTTAACTGTATAAAAACCTAACCTAATACACCAAAAAACCCTCATTCCTCACATTTTAGGTATTATCTTTTGTTTCTAATAACGGTTGTCTTTTGTACACAGGTCTTCTGGAGAATTAGAATGTTGTTGAAATGTATGGGGTAAATAACGCCATGTAGAGAAAGATCAGGTTTTCCATTACAAAAGTACTACCTCTTCTGGTAAGATATACCGTGATTCACTTAACAATGACAATTTCATCATCTGGCCTGTTATTTAGAATTGTATTACGTTTAATTGAAGTTCTTCTATCTCTGTAAGAGATTTGTTATTCTTTTTTTTTTTTCGTTTTTTTAAGCTTAAAGTTACACAATGGGATATAAGCCTTCAGACTTGACACTGAGACACCACGAATTTTTTATATTTTATTCAGTCAAAATATTTTACTTTGAAGTATTTCTGTGCGGCCCTCAGTGGTAAGTCTGAGGGATCACATCGATAAAAAACTGGGTTTCGATACTCGTGGTGGTCATAGTACAGGCAGCCCACTACTGTAGCTTTGAGCTTAACATCGAACAAACAAACAAACTTTCTGTTTTTCACTTATCTTTTCTACGTGTTGAGAGTCTTGGAGTCCTTGATTGGACATCGAACATTTTTTTTTGATAAACACAGATGTCGGCATGAAATAAGTCGTCACAGGAAATGTTTACAAAGAAGACAATGAGAATGGAAGTGAATCGCACATTCGTTGAAATGTACTGTTAGTTCACGAGAAACAGATAAAAAAAATTAACGTGACAGAAAGTTTTCTGAATGCTAATGATATTGTTTTTTTAACAAAAATATAATATTATACAGTACAGGTTAGATTGTCCTCTAACACAGCTATAAATTGTTTTGTACAACACAATACCATTTCCTGTGATACGAGAACCTTACAACCAAAACGAAATGTTGGGCTTTTCGGTTGATTTGGTACAAACTATTCATTGTACTAGACTCATTGTTCTCCACAGTGAAATAAATATAATATAATGACACAACATTATCTGACTTGCATACTATAGACCATAACTAGACAAAATACGACATGACGTGCAATTCGTTAAGTATTCTTTCCTGAAATTACTTTTATGCACAGTATTCTCTAACCTCCTGTGGTAAAGTAGATACATGATATTCACTACTATTTATTGTTGTGGACAAAATTATAATAGTTGACACTTCATTTATTTCATTATTTATACATAAACATAAACAGAATACTACATTAAATCCATTGTACTACACAGTGTTACTTACAAAGATACAACAAACACTCCAGTCCGTCTAGTATATATATTGTTGTGTATAATGAAATGAGACGTCACTACAATTGTTATGTTGTGTATGCCTTTTACAAGCTGGTGAAGAATGATTACTATCAAAATTGTTATATATATATATATATATATATGCGAATCGTGGTGTCCGTCTGAGCGATCGTCTGTCTCCTGTTTACCTGTTTACGGCGGCAGCTTCCCGAGTTGCGTTTGAAAAGCTGCGTACGCAGGCAAAGCTCAACATTCACTTTCGAAACGAGGGGAGAACAGGCATGAATAATGTTAATGCCAAATTTAATTTCGCAAGCAGAATATTCTACTGTTAGGAATTCACATTTCAAAATGTGACGTAACTTAAAGAATAAAAATGTAGATTCACCAAATGTTAATGTTGAGCGGTTCTTAGTATGACTGAAATGCTTAACATTTACTTTTCGCGGTGGGCAGTATAAGTAGCTCAGTGATTTGGCTCTGAGTGAAACTAAGAGTGCAACACAATTAACATTTTTAAAATCCATGAAATAATTTAAAGTAATAGATTAACTTAAACTTTTTTCGTCACTGAGGACGAGTGATTTTGCTTGTATATGTATATCTTACAATTTTTTTTTCACCAAAGGTAAAATTGTAAATAAATCTGTGACTTAGAGGCCTAATGCTTTCTTTGATAAGCCGTACTCTCTGCTG